ACAGTGATTACTGAGAACCCAAACCACAATAAAGACATGAAACAGGAACAGATACTAGAGATATCACCTCTTAGATGGCTATCTTCAAAATTACCTACTCTGTAGTATAAACACAAAAAACATGAGTGAAACTCATCTCCTGAATGATGAGATAGGAGACGTATTGAACTAGTGTATCTGCATATTTGAAAACTGGATGTTCCTGTCGACACATTTAAATATTATGACGACAAGCTCCAACGAGCTTGTCTGGTCTTCGGGCTAGCAAACTGCCACAGTGAACTCAAACACTGAGTTGCCATATCTTAAAACCAATCTACTGAATGTATATAGTAAACATTTAATTCACTATATATTTCTCAGATAAGTGAAAAGTCTTATTGAACACAAAGTTACTAAATTCTACTTATTGCCATGTAGTTTAGGTCAGTACATGAGTTTTTAAGTATTATAAACCTGGAAATATATGTCCATTACTTTTAAGAGAAAAGTAATGACCCCTGGTTCCAAATAAAATTACATTAAAAGATCTTAAAATATTACAGACATTTGAAAGGATTAATAGACAAGAAATTTTTCAAAGATAATCTCATGGACAAATGACTAAGCAAGGGTTTGTACTAACATGTTACTCATCTGTATGACACATTTTGTGTTCATGAGTGAGGTTAGAGGCAAGCTCAAAGACTTGAATATTGCCTACTGTTTGATGAACAATATATATGTATATATAGATAGTTCAGTCATTCTGAAATGACATGGTGCCAAAAAATATTTTCCAATACCAAAGTGACCACACAAAGTATGAAACAGTGTGAAATAATGAGAATAAAAGAGCTATGGAGAATTATACTGGGAATACATGGTAACCTCATGGCATTAAGGTTAAAAGAGAACTGAGTCTGAAAACAAAAGCAAGCATTAAGAACACTGAAAACTCTATTTGAAGATCACTATATTTAATAAATTTGGTTGTGACACCACACCAAATTACTTCTCACAAAATGATGAGTTGATAGTCAACATCTAAATAAGGAGAAAATTGCTATAAAGCAGGAGCCCTTAACTTGGAATTAATCACTGTCTGGGCTTCAAAGGTCTGTTAAGTTTTTGAAATTCTAAGTAAAAATTTGGGCATATGAGGGGCTATCTTCTGCAAAAGGTATCCAAAACTTAAATCAGAGTTTCCTGGGATCCTCAGAACCAAAAGTTAAGATCCATAACTCTAAAAGGAGGCCACCATTTGTCTATATACAAACACACAACTGGGCCTTGGGTAATACTGCTAAGTGTGAAATTAAGAGAAGTATTTAAAATTTTTTAATTATTCACAAAAATACTTTAGAAAAATAATTAAAGGAAATGCCAGCCACAGAATGGACACTGAGGGAAAATAAACATTTCAGGAACCCTATTGCTGTGAAAATAGTCTTTAAAATTATCTAAGAAAAAAAAATGTAGGTTATTCTGATAGTTCTTTTCCTTGGATTAAACAGAGCATAGAAATGGCTATATCAAGACTTAATCTATCTGAACAGATTTATATCCTCTTCCCTTTTATTATTTTTTTAAATAAAACATGGCAGCACCTGGATATAAAGAACTGAACAGTTTTCAACAAAGGTGACTACATTAGTTTGGAGGTGAGTGGGTCCATTTTTGGTTATTATACTTAGCAGGGAAGTGATAAGTCTAGGACCGAACCACACATATCAGGACAACAAAATACTGTATCATATTCTGCATAAATACGTCCTGCTACACATTTGCATAAATAAAAAAAAATCTTAAATTGAGTCTTGAAACTAACTCCATTTCACATATTTTTGAGCTACAATGTTTTTCTATGCAACTTTAATTTCCTGGATCAACTGCGTAAATCAAACTAAGACTAGAGACTTAATAGAAGTTTCCTAGGAGGTATTCACTAGTCACCATTTTAGAAAATCATGTCCCCACTGGTGCTCTAGACTGAATGTGCCTCCCCAAATTCTCAGATTGAAAACTGAATTATGTTATGCTGATAGAAGGTGGGGCTTTAGGGAAGTGATTAGGTCATGAAGGTGGACTCCTCATGAATGAAATCAGTGCCCTTAAGAGAGACTCAAGACCTCCCTAGCGAGAGGACACAGTGAGAACAAGGTGACCTGTGAGTCAGGAAGCAAGACCTCGTCAGACATGAAAATGTCAGTGACCTGATGATACTGTGGCTTTTAATTTCCACAACTATGGTAAAATATTTTTGTTGTTTATAAGCTGCCCAGTGTGTATTGGCAATAGCATTCTTGGGCTTGAGTTGACAGCACATACCATTTCTATCAGTCTACAGTTGTTGCTACTGGATTCTGGATTATTTACATTAGAGTAAATCCCTAAAATATTTCATTATATCTTAGTACTTAGCCATGCCTAGGCATTACCTTTGAAAAAATTTAAAAATCCTTAGTTTATGTTTGGTGAGGATGTTTCACTGATTTTTAGAACAACTGTCTATGTGTAAAAAAGTTACTGAGGGAAAAATTAGTAAAATCCAAAGTGTGGAATTTTGTAAGGAATATTATTGGCTTCTTATCAGACAAATGTACTATGGTAATATAAGATGTTAACAGGAGAGGAAAAGGTGAGGGGGACATGGATAATTTCTAATCATTGCAATTTTTCTGCAAATCTAAACTATTCTAATATCAAGGTTATTTCTTAAAAGGTTTACTTTTAGGGCCTTCCCTGGTGGTGCAGCGGATGAAAGCACTGCACTAAGAAGCTTAAGCCACTTCCGCATGAGTTCGATCCTGCCTGCCCCGAGGAGATCCACATGGTGTGGCAGACCTCTCCTGACCCGCCCGTTGCTCCCCTCAGTAGTGTACTGCGTCGATCAGACTGTTCTGCTCCCTAATCTGTCCCTAGTGAATCCTCTTACCCTCCGCATCTCTGGCCTGTACCCCAGTTCTGTATGAATAAATAAATAAATCTTAAAAAAAAAAAAGGTTTACTTTTAGAGATGCATAGAGATTTCAAATTTAGAAAACTGTTCATTTCTGTTAATATCTGTATATTAAAGTGTTAGGATAAACTGTTAATGGTTAAATGTTGCTGTGAATGGCATGAGTTTATCTTTTTTGATTGACGAATAGTATTTGACTGTATATATATGTATGCATGTATACACACACACACATATATATACACATATACATACACCACATCTTGATTCAATCATCTAGTTTTGGGCATTTGGGTTGTTTCCAGGATTACCTATTGTAAGTATTAAGTAGTGCTATGATAAACATAGGAGCTGGAAGGGATTATACTTAGTGAAATAAGTTGGAAGGAAAAAGAAAAATATCGAATAGTTTCACTTACAGGAGGAATTTAAGAGAACCAAATAAAATGGGGGGGGGAGTTTATTTTTATTACAATACAAAACACAACAAAACAGTACAAAAACAAACAGATAAGTATAAACCAGAGAGATCCTGCAGGGGAGGGGGACAGAGAGGGATCAGAAGGAGGGAGGAATGTGGGGGCTGTGGGGATGACAGGAGTGGGAGGAGGAAGTAAACATTGTTCTAAAATGAATAATAATGTAAATATATTTATTAAAAATGACTAAAAATAAATTAAAAAATGGTTAAATGTTAACAAGTTCACATGGTTTATCCTAGAATGGTCTGAGTCTAGGTTCCTGGACTGTGTTACAAAATTATGTTATATAATTAAGAATAGGCCCTCCCTGGTGGCGCAGCGGGTTAAAGCACAGCACTGAGAATCTAAAGCCTCTTCTGCATGAGTTCAATTCCCAACTTGCCCTGGAGGTGACCACATGGCGTGGCAGACGTCTCCTGACCCGCCCGCTGCTCCCCTCAGCAGTGTACTTCGTCGATCTGCCTGTTCTGTTCCCCGCTCTGTCTCTGGTGAAGCCTCTCACCGCCCCTGAGCCTCTGGCCTGTACCCCAGTTCTGTATGCACAAATAAATAAATCTTAAAAAAAAAAAAAAGAATATATGTACTTTTCATTTTCAGAAATAAAGAGAAATCAGTTGCAATTCATTGCACACACACCAGTGCTCCCTGGCAAATTCCCACATGGTTATACAATATTATGTATGATTTTCAATTGCGTATTATAAAGGAAGTTTTTAAAAAACAGTCATTATTAAAAAAGGAGTAGAGTTGTAGATGGTTGGGAATCACTGAACTAAACATAGCGTTTAAAAGTAAGGAAGACTATAACAGTTTATCAGTGGAGGTTATATTAAATTTCTATGAAGAAAAGAACTAAGAGGACTCTAGGGATAGCCTTTTTCTCACATATGGTAGTATTCAATGAAACCTTTCTATCATTAGATAAACCTCTGAGTATAGATAGTCTGTGAAAGAGCACAGGAACATAATAAAAACTTATGCCTCAATGGAATAATAGTTTACTCTAAGAAAGGATGAAATTCTGCCATTTGCAACAATAAGGATGGGATTAGAGGTAACGTATTTAGTCAAATAAGTCAGATGCAGAAAGATAAACACTGCATGATTTCACTCAAATGTGGCATATAAGCAAAAACAAGGAAATGAAACAAAATCAAGATAACCCAAATCCAAAAACATGTAGACTGTAAGATAAAATTAGTGGCTACCAGAAGGGGAGGAGTAGGGAAGTGTAAACTGGGTAAAAGGGGTCAATTACATGGTGAAGAACTGATAGCCCAATTCTACCCTGAAACTTCAGTCCAATTCTAGGCTGAAATGTAATACAGAAATACATGTTGCCTTATATAATGATGCACAGCTGAAACTTACATAACATACTGTATTGCAGTGCTACTTCAATTAAAGCTTTTTTTTGTGTGTGTGTGTTTTTGCAGAGGCTTATGAAATTTCTGAACGTGTTCAGATTCCTAGAAAACATGTTAGGTGGAGACACTTGCATGCAACAGGGGAAAAAAAAATTGGAAAAGCAGGAGGTAGGTTTACTACAAAAAAGAAAAAAAAAAAAAAGGACTCACCTGTGCACAAATCTGATGCATGACATGACCAAATTCATGGAAGTAAGTCCTCACCTCATCATGCCTCAGGAGAGAGGGGCGCCCGGCTAGTGGCTGTGAGAAGTTCACCACAAGGGCAGCCACAGACATCATGCGGCTCCCATCAGGGAGGAGACAGCCAGGCTGCAGACCAAAGCAGGCTGCGTGGTTGTATTTTCCTTCCCTGGGAACCACAAGCACACTAGGTGAGATGTCAGCATATTCTCTAGCAACATCACTGTGGACCTGTAGCTACTCTCAGTCATGCATAGTTGATAACAGAGGACCCTTTGAAACATTTAAGTCACACTTCAAAATACAGAAAGTCAACATTTAGGGACCTTCCCTGTTGGTGCAATGGGTTAAAATGCAGCCCTACGAACTAGCTGCAGCCACTTCAGCATGAGTTCAATCCCAGGCCAGGGAGGTGACCCCCACAGCGCAGCAGACCTCTCCTGTCTAGCCCACTGCTCCCCTTAGCAGTGTACTTCATCAATCTGCCTGTTCTGCTCTGTCTCTCTGGTGAATCCTCTCACCACTGTGGCACCTCTGGCTTGTACCCCAGTTCTGTATGCTTAAATAAATCTTAAAAAAAAAAGGTCAACATTTATTAAAATACTAAAACTAAACAAAAACTCCACTATCCCTTCACAAGTTGTATCTCCATGATGCCCTTTGTACGAATGTACTCTTACATACCCACCAGGTACACAGCTGATGCCACATTTATTTTAATGGTTTTCTTCTTCAAACATGGAGTCACTGAACATTGGTGTCGAAGCATATTTGAGATAATAGATATAGTTTGACTCACTACGTAGGTTTTCTTAAAATTAAAATTGATAAATATTAAATGCCAGACAGAGTTCATAAATATTAACTACCTGTCATTCAAGGAAGAAAGAATCAGTCTCACAAATTCCCTATTTTTACTGATCAGCTATCGGCCTACAGCAATTTGTTAAAAAGTCTTACTGGTATTTAGAGTTGGTTCTAGCACTTGCATTTATCCTCTCTCTCCAGCTATCATGATTTTAAGTTAACTGAAGCCTCCCTTTTCTGAAGAAAGTTGCGATTTACAATTTTCTGGTGTGTTGTTATACAGGTGGAAGCCATGTCCTTTCTAGTTTTATATATCTTAATAGAAGCTGGAAAAAGACTATTTTTTTTTTTCCGGTACGTGAATAGACTCACTGAGAAAAGATAATACAGAAAAATAAAGTCAAGGAAAGACAAATTTAAAAATCAGTCCCAAACTGTAATGTACTATTAGTCTATTAGTAAAAATAAAAAAATAAAAAGAAGGAAAGAAACGTATTCCTAGAGTAAAGTTTAATGGTTCATAGCTTCTGGAGAGAATATCACTAATCAGTACAATATGGCTCAAGCACAGACAACTTTATAATTTGTGTTTTTTTTCTCAGACTACCTAAAAATGGTCTGTTTGGAAAAGATATGCTGAGCTTATAAAAGGAATCTGTTTACTTTCAGATCCAAAGATTAGTGTAGCAAAGGATCACTGAATAGGCCCTGCCCTTAAGACCCAGGGACACAGATCCTACTTAAGACTGATGCTTAATGAGCACAACAGAGAATTTCCTCCCCTGACTAGGATAATAAGCATGCACTAACAATAGCAGTCTGCTGCTGAGAGAACAGTAGACGCCATGTCATGGACAAAAATGAAGTCATATAAAGAACAAGGCAAGGATACTATCTCTCATTACTCCTTTGTAAACAGACTAGGAAGTAAGAAATAAAGCTGTCAAAGATGACACGATTGTTCATGTAGAAAATCTGAAATATCAATAAAAAAACTCCTGGAAATAATAATGAGTTAAAGCAATGTTGTAAGATATAATGTCCATATACAAAAGCCAGTCACTTTCCTGTATATCAGCAATGAACTTTTGAAATTTAATATTACTATTCTATTAGCCCCCCACCCAAATGAAAGACTTAAATGTAAGTCTAACAAAATATGTGTAAGATCTATGTGAGAAAAAGTATAAAACCCTGATAAATAAAATCAAAGAACTAAATAATGAGGAGTACTTGATATTCATGGGTAAGATGACTCAATAATATTAAGATATCACTTCTTCCCAACTTTGTATATTCAGCACAACCCCAGTGAATATCCCAGAGAATTATTTGTAGATATTAACAAATGATTCTAAAATTTATATGGAGACAAAAAAAAAACAAAAATCAGAATAGCTATGTAGAAGAACAAAGCCAGAGAGTTAATACTACCTCACCTAGTATAAAGTTACACTACCCTTACTTAAGTTACAGCAATCAAGACAGTGTGGTACTAACAAAGCAACAGACAACAGTTGATTCTAGAACTGCATAGGCCTACATAAATGCTCTTTAACAAGGGAGTATAGTTAATGGAACAAAGACCTATTTTTCAATAAATGGTGCTGATACAACTAAATATAAACATGTAAAAAAACTTAAATAAATCTAGACGAAGATCTTACATCTTTCACAAAAATTAAGTCAAAATGGATCAGAGACGTAAAATGAAAAAAGATAAAATTCTTAGAATGTGGCATAGGGAAAAGCCAAGATGATCTTGAGTTTGGCAATGACTCTTTAGATACAAGCCCAAAGGTACAACCCATGAAAGAAAGGATATCAGTAAGTAGACAATATAAAAAGGGATTTTCAACAACAAAGAAAACCAAACTGATAAAAAAAAAAATAAATAAATGGGGCTCTCCCTGGTGGCACAGCAGGTTAAATTGCAGCACTGCAAGTTTGCTGCAGCCGCTTCAGGGCAAGGTCAATCCCCTGCCCTGGGAGGTGACCAACACCAGACCTCTCCTGTCTCGCCTGCTTCTCCCCTCAGCAGTGTATTCAATCTGCCCGCTCTGCTCCCTACTCTGTCTCTGCCGAATCCTCTCACCACCCTTGCATCTCTGGCCTGCACCCCAGTTCTGTATGCATAAATAAATAAATCTTAAATAGAAATAAAAATAAATAGACCAAAGATATCAACAGAAATATCACCAAAGGAGCTATATATATAGACAAACAGGCATATGAAAAGATGGTCCACATCACATGCCACAGTGCAAATTAAAGTGACAAGCTACACACCTATTAGTGTGCCACAAGTCCAGAACACTGGCCTGGTAAAAACATGGAGGGATAGGAATCTCATTCAGTACTGACAGCAATGCAAAAGAGTACAGTTTAGAAGACATTTTGATTTTTTTAAAATAAAAATAAACATACCATAACCAAGCAGCAATCATGTTACTTGGTATTTACCCAAAGAGCTGGAAATTATGTATGCACAAAAAGCTGCACACAATGTTTACAGCAGCTTCATTTCTAATTGACAAGATTTGGAAACAACTAGGATCCTTCAGTAGGTGAATGAATAAATGGTGGTATAGCAGGACAATGGAATATTGATCAGTACTAAACAAGAAATCAGCTATCAAGTCATAACACATGGAGGGATCTTTATTGTGTATAACTAAGTAAAAAATGCCAATCTGAAAATACTAAGTACATATGATTTCAATGACATCATATTCTGGAAAAGGCAAAACTACTGACAAAGTAAAAAAACCAGCAGTTTCTAGAGGTAAGGTGGAGAGAGGGACAAACTGCAGAGCACAGAGGATTTTGGACAGTGAAAATATTTTGTATGATTCTATAGTGGTGGATATATGTCAGTATATACTGCCCAAACGCACAGAATATACAACACCAAGAGTAAACCCTACAATGCAAAATGGGTGCATCTGATTATGGGTGTTTATGATGTGGTAATGTGTCAATAAGTTCATCAATTGTAATAAATCTACCACTTTTGAAGAGGGATGTTGACAATGAGGGAGGCTGTGCATGAGTAGGTACAGAAGCAGTGGGAAATTTCTGTACCTCATGCTCAATTTTGCTGTGAACCTAAAACTGATATAAAAAATAAAGCCTATTTTAAATAAATAAAAGTCAATAACAACAAAAAAAATTTATCAAGGTTGAGTGAGTGAGCTCAGGGAAGGGAAGGCAGACAGAAGTGTGAGAGTGTGGGAGAACCCTGTGCACTGAGTCGGATAAAATTTTCAGCTAGCCCAGCCTCTGGGTGTTTGGTGGACCCATTACCAGTACTTCTGGAATAATTTCATGTAGATAGTTGGAAATGTGCAGGTCTAACTAAAGTAACGGGAAAAGCCCATACTTCCATATTTTATAACTTTAGGCAATTATGAAACATCATAAATCAAATTTGTGATGTGATAGTAATAACGGTGCTACTGAGTAGTCAGAGAGATAGCAGTTGAGTAGCTTTCTTCGAAAAATCTTTGGAGAATTAAAAAACCTTAAGAATGACTTAAAATCAAAGACTTTCTACCAATTTTGAAACCACTGGTAATGGTTTTACCTGTTAAAAATAACTTATTTAATTTAATAGATTTCTTTATTCTGAGGTTATATCTTTTTATATTGTTTATAAAATAACTTTTCTTTAAGATTTATTTATTTATGCATACAGAACTGGGGAACAGGCCTGAAGCACAGGTGTGGTGAGAGGATTCACCAGAGACAGAGAGGGGAGCAGAACAGCAAAAAAAAGAAAGAAAACGCCGAAAGGAGCAGCGGGCGGGTCAGGAGAGGTCTGCCACGCCATGTGGATTACCTCTGGGGCAGGGATCAAACTCATGCTGAAGTGGCTTTAAGCTTCTGGTGCCGTGCTTTAACCCGCTGCACCACCAGGGTGGGCCTAAAATGACAATTTTTAAAAAGTGTCCTTATCTGGAAATCTTATTTTGGAACATTTTTGGTTTTGTTTAAGAATCTCAGTGTTTGAGTTTGAGCAATAAAAACTGAAATGTGATTTTAAAAACCCTGGACATTCCTAAATGTATTCCAAATATCCGCTTTTAAGTAAATTAGACAAAGCCAAATGCCCAAAAGTAGATGACTGGATTAGAAAGATGTGGTACATATATACAATGGAATATTACTCAGCAACCAAAAAAGAGAAACACATGTCTTTTGCAGCAACTTGGATGGAGCTGGAAAAGATCATGCTTAGTGAGATAAGCCAGAAAGAGAAAGAAAAATACCGGATGGTTTCACTCATAGCAGGAGTATAATGGACCAGGCGAGAAAATAACAAAAATAATGAACAACCATAGACCAGAGACATTCTGTGGGGGTGGAGTGGGGAATGGGATCAAAAACGGGGGGGTGGGGGGGGAATGCACGGGACTATGGTGGTGGCACAGGGGTGATTTGGTGATGTGAAACCCGTGGGGATTACAATCGAGATGGAAAAAAAAAATGTGCAAAATGATGTAAAAATAAACTTTGTAATAAATAAAAAAAAAAATTAGACAAAGCAAACAAGTCAATCCATTTCACTTTATAAAGCAAGCATATAAGGTGATAGGAAGTGAGTAATAGGCAACGTCCCTTACACAGATTACCCTTTGATGCCCTCTACTACAGTACTGCTAGCAATGGCCAGCTCTCTAAGTAAAAAGCCAATTATATCTTGGAAGACAGCAAGATGGACCCTGGAAAGAAAATCTGCAAAGAGTTACAGGAGGTTCTAATGTTGAAGGAATTTCCCTGAAAGAATTCTTGGCTTAAAACTGTTTCCTGACACTTTTCAATTAAAAATAGACCATCTAATTTGACATGCATTTATTTTGGGGAGATATGATATCAGAAGTTAAAGTAAGCCCATGCACTGACTGGATGACATAGTTATCTTGTCTATTCCCAGCAGCTACCTGAGGTCATCCGAATCAGTGGACTAAAAACTGGTATGTGCTATTGAACTAGGAGTCATTATAGTTTTCTTTGGTGTATTTAGTAAAACAGATCAGTAATTGTAACTGACTGACTATATTTTAGAAAGTAGCCCAGAGAGAAAGTGGTCTAAATCCTTTATGTCTGATGAATCACTTGCGTTCACCACTGCCACGAGTTACAAAGGTCATCATCTTCTTTTTACTTCTGAGTAAATGCCTAGGCTAGGTGATTTCTATATACAGTCTAATGTACAAAATAATCCTGTACAGGAATCATCAGTCCCATTTACAGGGGAGGACACAGTCTCAAAGAATTTATGTCACTCAATCATTCTAACTCATATTTGACTGACTATAAAGATTCTGGTATTTGTAATATATTATGCTGATACTCAGTCAGACTAAGGGGACTGGCCATAGATTTAAGGGTACTGGAAGATTATCTGCATAATGATCTGCATAATGAACATTTTTTGGATAATTTTAAATTAACTAAATGTAGTCCACAATTAGATAGTGATGTTAGCAGCTAACATTAAACTGTTGCTATATACTAGTCGTTTAATTAATGTTTTGCAGGTAATTAACTATTTTAATCCTTATAACATACCTACAAAGCAGGTATGATTAGTATTCCTTTTATAGTACCTGAAATATAGGTAAAGAAACTGAGGTACAGAAAAATTAACTTGCTTCTTAACTGACAGAGCCAGACATTCTGGCTTCTAAGCTTATATATTTAATCCTTTTATTAAGAACCACACATGAGAACTATGGAAGACAAAAGGCTTAATCTAGGTAGGAGGTGAATCCCTACGTTTCTTTCCAACAACGTGTTTCTTAGTACCTTGGATAGAGGTCCAAGTAGAACTGCCCCAGTACTTCTCCTGTAGCTTTATCCTTCACAGTGTAAAGCGTAACACTTTTATTCCACACATGAGCATCTGCCACTTGTTCAAATGAAAGTCCCAGCAACTCTTGATATATGTTCAACAGGCCTTCAGTAACCACTTCAATTGGGAAATATTCCTTGAGGATCTCTTGGTCTACGGAATACTTAAGTTCTTCTGTCTGTGTCATGTAATAATATAGATCCCAGGCATTGATTTTCCCATCATATTCAAAACCTTTCTCTTCACATTCCTTTTTCTTCAGATTCAAGATAAAATCTCGTTCTGCCTCACCCAGAGGCTTTAATTTCAGGCTTAAATCATCTGTGAGGAAATAGGGAAAAGTAATGATCAGTAGCTCTTGGAAGCAAGTACATTCACATATATACCCACCAGTGTTTGGTATGGTACCTGCTTCTTGGTAGTACTTGGTAAAGATCGGTCAGGAGTGAAGAAGGCAGAAGAGGAGAGGAAATGAGAGGAAGCAAAAGAAAGTGGGAGGGAAGGTTGGTAGAAAAAAGAGAAAGAGGAAAGGAAGGGAGAGAGGACAGGAAAGAATAAGGAGAAAAGGTTCTGTTATGACTGTACTTCTGTTTTCTTCGGGGTGATTTATTTTATGGCTCCTTGGAAGGCAGCAGCCTGAAGAGTGCTATGAGGAGAAAGGAGGAAGCTCATGGCCAATATATAGAGATCTATTTCTGATTAGGCCTGTGAGAGGTTATGTGAATACAGGCAGGGGGAGGACAACTCAGATGGAAACATGCCAATTTTAAATTAGAGGGAGAACTACTTTAAAGGAATTAAGTTAATCAGGTAGTTATTAAGGGAAAATTTCATTATATGTAGTCACCATGAAAGGAAAACATTCTTACCAGACCAGTTAACAACCTGAGCCATCCTCTTATAAAACATGTCAGAGAATTGGTGGCAATTAGCTGCTCACATCTTTGTTGTTTCCACTCAGTAGAAAAATTCATTGAGAAAGGACTTGATCTAATACCCTCCCATTCAACATACTCCCTAATGCAAGGTGGTGATTTCATAAAAGTGTGATGAATAAATGAATTTTATAATACAAATAGCTATTTACAAATAGCTATCATTTAATGGAGCACTAGCAACGTCACCTCTAATGCCAGCACACACACCAATAATTCATGGCACAGTCATAGCCACTGAGGAAAGAATAATTTTTGGGATGAAGTCTGATTTTATTTTATTTTTAAATTTATATATTCTTTACGTTATTGTTCATTTCCTCTCAGGTGTAATCCACATAAAATATCCACCACCAAGACAACTGAAATGTCACCATAGTCTCTTGTGCTCTTCCCTCCTGTTTGATCCCTCTTCCTCCCACTCCCCAGCTGAGTGTCACCAATTTATAGTTTTGAAGGCTGACTTTAACATGTCAACTTAAGTTAATAAAAGGACACCAAACAACAGACTAAACAAGAAAACTAGTTGTTAAAGGTAAATTAAGTCTAAAAGTGGTCAATGAGTTTAAAAGTCTAAAAAAATTATACTTTGGTAAATTCTGATTAGAGGAGATTAAAACGAAAATTACTGTCTTACTATGGCTATGTTATCAACCATTTTCACTAAGATGAAGGAAAAACAGAGTGAATGTTGGAAAAGTCACACCAGGTTGAGATGGGGACGGAGAAAAATGACAAAATACCAGTAACTAAGAAACATGGAAATAAAAAACATGGTTTGAAAATATAATAAAATATAATAAAAAAGTTATTATTAAAAAAAATAATAATAAAATAATAATAAAATATAATAAAAAACTTATTATTAAAAGAAAATATAATAAAAAAGTTATTTTAAATAAATGTCAATACAGTTATTAGTCAATAATACGGATGCATATTATTTTATAATGCTCTTGTACATTAACAAATGGATTCTGGACCATAAAATGTTTATCTTTGTTTACATTTCATTTTCATTTATATTTGTCATATTTCATACAAATTCAAGTAGCCATAGTAAGTAACCTACCAAATGCCTAATGGCAGTGAATAAAGTCAATAGTAATAGTCTTTGTTAGGCTCCTTGATGCCTTGTTAGACATTAGTATAAAAATCCCCATGAAGACACCAAGACAGAACGAAGTAAAGATTCTAATAGCAACATAAAAAATGAGTAACTTTTACAATCAACCACAGTATCTACAACCAAGCGCAGTATCGAATAATACAGCAGGTGATCAATACATTTTTCTTGTGAATGAAAAGTAGGGCTTAAAAGCCTGTACTAAGTAAGACCTGTGAAGTTGGTATCATGCAGCTACTAGGTGGTCAAAGGGAAGAAGAGTGGGAAGACAAGCTAACCGAGAAAGGCTGTTACATGGCTTGTACTCTTCGCAGTGTTCATTTCAAGGACGAAGTCTGCATGTGTGCTATAGCCAAGCAATTTGGCTATTTTGGCCCTCAGTGGTAGTAACTGCTGCAGAATCTTGGTGTTTTCCTAGTAGTAAACAACAACAACAACAAAAGCAGAGGTTAATGTTAACTGAATCCAGGTCACCAAAGGAAAAAGTTACCACCTGCCTCTTAGGTCCACAAAACTGTGTTAAGTATTTTCAGATCATCTCAACTTTAGCACTTTTTCCCCCATATCACAGTTATAGTATTTTTTAAAATTTACTATGCGATTTTATTTCTGAAATAATTAACTTTTGAAGTCTCAGGAGACAGCTATGAGGCTTAAACAAAATTTGGTTACTTTACCTTAAGAGTGAAAGTATATAATTAAGGACTATAGTCTCAAGGACACTTAATCGCAGTAATAGAACTATAAGAATACTGGCACTTAACTTTTTAAACTTGTTATACTATATTGTAAAATTTACTGTCTTAACTGTAACAGAAAAAAGTGTCGGCGAATGGTGACAAAGTGGAGAATTTGGAAACATTGGAATGTTTGTATGGAATGTAAACTGGAGCAGCTGCTGTGGAAGATGGCAATCCCTCAAAAAATTAAACACAGAAATACAATATAATCCAGCAATTCCACTTCTGGACATATATATATATATATATATATATATATATATATATATATGCCAAAAAAGTGGAAGCAGAGGCTCAAACAGTTATCTGTACACCCAAAATCACTGCAGCATTATTCACAAGTAGTGGAAGGAACCCAAATGTCCATCAATGCAAAGAAAAAAGGTATATCTATATAGTGGAATAATAATCTTAAAAAGTTTTTTTTTTCTCCTTCTTTTGATGTGATGACACTGGTTCACAACACTGTGTCTGATTTAGGGGAACAGATTCACACTTCTGATGTATGTTCACCACACCACCCCCAACACCCAAGCATCCCTCATTCTTGACCATAGACCCCTGGGCTCTTTCCCCACCTGGCTGCCACCCCTGTTCTGCCTCTCTCTCTAGTAGATTCAATTCTGCATTAAGTCTAGGGTTTGTTTTGGTTTAGCTTTGTCAGTTCCATTAGTTTTTTTCTCTCTATTTTACATAAGAATGAAATTGGTATTTATCTTTTTCTTTTCTATTTCACTTAGCTTCATGCCTTCCAGTTTTATCTATATTGCTACAAATGGCAAGAGTTCATCTTTTTTTTAAATAGCTGAGTAGTATTTCATAAATATGTATAACGTATCTTCTTATCCCACTCCTGTCATTGAATATTTAGGTTGATTCCATATTTTGGCTATTGTATACAGTGCTGCAATGAATATAGGAGTGAATATATTTCATCTGATTAGTGCATTTGCATTATTTAGGTAGGTAGATGTCTAGGAGTAGACTTGCTGGGTCATATGATAAATCTATTTTTAATATATTTCAGGAACTTCGATGCTGTTTCCATAGAGGTTGGACCAGTCCACATTACCACTAATAGTGCACAAGGGTACCTTTTTCTCCACACCCTTGATAGCATTTGTTGCTTGTTTTTTTTCTGATATGGGCCATTCTCACAGGTGTGAGGTGGTTTTGATTCGCATTTTCCTGATAAGTGATATTCAGCATTTTTTCAAATGCCTGTTGGCCATTTGTATGTTTTCTTTGAATAAGTGTCTATTTAGTTCTTCCCATTTCTAACTGGGTTGTTTTCTTTTTGTTGAATTACATGTGTTTTTGTTATAACTTGGATATAGGCTCCATGTATGTATGACATTTTTTCTCCCAGATTTTTAAGATAGTCTCTTTTGTTTTGTAGAACAGCTTTAGCTTGATGTAATCCTGTTTGTGTATTTTTACTGTTGTTTTTCTTGCCTTTGGAGTTGAGTCCCTAAAGACATCTCGGAAGCCAATGTTGTGCAGTATTTGCCTATTTTCTTCTATGTATTTTATGGTTTTCCATCTCACATCCAAGTTTTTAATCCATTGTGAGTCAGTTTTTGTGTGAGAGAGTAGTTTAGTTACTTTCTTAGATAGGTGGCTGTCCAGTTTTCTCAGCAACACAAAGAAAGAAATTTGAACATGCTAAAATACGGATAAAGCTTGAAGACATTACGTTAAGTCAAGCAAGTCAGTCAGAAGTACAAACGTTGTATGATTTCATTTCCATGAGGTTCCTTGAAGTAGTCATATCACAGAGGCAGAAAGCAGAAGTAAGGATGTGGTGGGTGGGGTGGGGGAGTGTGAAGTTAATGTATAATGGGTATGGAACATCAGCTGGGGCAGATTTTGACAAAACGCTTGGAGATCATGGTGCTGTTGGTTACACAGCAATGTGGATATACTTCACATCACAGATTTCAATTTAAAATGTTTGGGGATTTTTCTCAGTTTATTACAAGCATTTGCTGTCTTTTATCTGTATTAATATACAAATAATATTATTTATTGCTTCCTTAACAATCATAGGAGAAGCAATCTAGAGAAAGTAAATAAATGTTGACGGCAAAGAAAAACTTCCTCCAATGATTAGGAAAGGAAATTATTTACTTGGATTGTGTCTAAGGAAGTGTTTCTGAGGTCAGACTATCAAGGTTCCAATTTTGGATCCACTTTCTGACTGTTGACTATTTTCTCATCTGTAAGAGGTGGATAATAAAAGTAGGTATGCCTTAGGAGATCAAAAATATTCAAATGAGAAGTTTTGTAAATGGCACAGAAATGTGCCTGGCATAATAGTAAATAAACACTATATAATTACGTTATAATTATTATTATTTTAAAATGGAAACCTTGATATCAGAGAAACATGTAATTAATCTCCTAAGTACTAAAATAAATTAGTTTTTCTTTTATTTATTTTTTTTTTCAGTTTTCCAAGGCCATTCTCTCTTTAGACTATTAATTTTTACAAAGCAATTTATACCCCACTCTTCCTTTTAAAAGAATTCTCTCAGTTTTTGTTGGATACAAGATGATCTGACTACCATTCATGGCCTCCCCTGTGATATACAATGAGATAATGGACTGTGAATGAGGTGATGTGTGAAATTTCTGGGTCATCTCTTAACCATTTTGAAGTGTACAGTTTAGTGACACTAATTACAGCAATATACAAATCATCACTATTTTATGCTTCTAAAACTTTCCCTACATCCCTGAATGGAAGTTGGTAGCTATTAAACAGTAATTCCTAGATCTCCTCAGTCCCTGTTAACTATTAATCCTTTCCAAACCGAACTAACTTTTATATTCTTAGGTTACTGTGCTTTTGAGTGACTTTGTATGGTTTCTTTTCCTGTAAGCTAATGCCCACAGACACTGATACTAGAAATATGGTACTGCAAAGCAAAAGTGTTCAGGAGTGGACAGAGTGAGGGCTGTACTGCAGTGTCCGAAGCTAGTAACCCTCCTCAGACTATAGACAACAATTAAAACTATTGATTGTCATTCTTGGAAGGCAAGTCAATTTCCTGCCGAGTGTCTTAGGTCTAAGGGAATTGTTTGGGAAAACCAATGCCAGTGTGTGTTTGTTAATGTGTTGCTTTTGGAAAGATTACATGAGAGAGATGAGTTTAAGAAAGAACTATTTAGTTTGCAAAGATAGAAGGAGAAGAGTTCTGCTGATAGAGTTTCTAGTTAATGACCTACAATCTAGGGCTTCAGACTTAAAAAAGTTAAGTTGAGTTGTTGAATCATGTAGGTCAGTTTAAAGATGCTGCCTTCTTCACCATACCTACTGTTTCAGATGGCCCTGAAACTGATTCCATTGAAGAGATGAAGAACAATGGCCAGAATACAGGAGTCAGGATATAAAATAATTTGGCACATTTAAGAACTATGACCTGGCAGGATTTGAAGATACGCATTTGTAGTAGTTTGAACCTATAACCCCCAAAGATGCAATGATGTAAACAAACTTTATTTCAATAAACATAATTTAAAAAAACAAAAAGAAAGAAAGTGAGAAGAAGTATGACCAAAAGCGATTTAGGGTGCAGTTACTGTAACATGTAACTGAGTGGAAGCAAACAGATTAAGAAAACTGGTACTTCTCTGAGGGAATTTTATTACCAAAGATCTTATAAACCTGGTTTATAAGTTTGCAGTATTAATCCCTGGCGCAAAATCTCAAGATTCAAACTGGCATCAGCAGGAATCTATTCTAGTAGCTGCCCAGGAAGTAGTCTGGAAGATACTGGAAAAGAAAGAATTCTTTATGGACAGAACCAAGAACCATGATATATAACTGCTAAAGGAATTTCCTCAAGAAAGGAGATCCAAATAGCTCCAATGGATGATACAAGGATCCTTATCAGAGAATGAAATTCTCACAATTCCTAGCAGGCAGGTTTCTAAAAGTTGGTATATACTTGCTACATTTCCCATTCACCCCTGTCTAAATGGAAGTTTTCAGTGTGGTTATTTTATTTCTAGCCTACCAATGGGTTTATGTGTTAGGAGATAAATTTTCTTTCCTTTCATAGGTTGCTAGATCATGACAAGCTACAACTGGGAGACTATATATTACTCAGAGATCCTGGTCTTTGGATTTAAGACAGTTACTGGTTGGGATCTGACAGGTGGACAATGGGTTCAATGCATGGAAAAAAAGTTCTCCTGGTTACCTTCATAGCCAGAGAGGTACACTGTGATGGATCCAATTAGTTGACTCAGAGAATCCATTTCTAACTCTCCCTTTTGTCTTTTAATAATAGAATTCTTTTCACTGAGCACACTGCTATTAACTAAAGACTACTGTCTTCCAGTCTCATTTGTATATATGCCTATATGATGGAATTTTGATCAATGGGATGCAAATGGAGCTATATTAACATCTCTAGGTTTTGTCTTTAAAAATACTTGATCTGTACTTAATTACCCCTCTTTTCAACAGGCTGGGGAATGGTGACAACTGGAATCACCATGGTAGTCACTTGTTGGTGTCCCACTAGTTCTGGACTCTTAACTTGGGAAAACACAATTTTTAATTTACCTAACCTACTGTATTTTTACTAGAGCGGTTTATTCTGTGGTCATAACAAGCAGGCTGCTAGTGAGCAAGAAAAAAAGCTAAGTCTCACAATTCTAAATAATTAGGAGGCATAATGCTCATACAAGTAGGAACATCAGTTTCTGAGCTGATTTCAACACTAGTAAGCAAAGCAAACCATTTTCTTAAAATTGATCATAAAAACAAAATGCAAATATTTATAATACCTCTTTGCACCTTGTATTAAAAGCCATTTCCATCTTCCTTCTGGTTTCAGGAATACAACATTTTTTCATTACAGGAAAATAATGTGGATATTTTAAGGTAATTTTATACTTGTCATCATCTGTCTTTTCTAAAGTGTCAATGAAATCATCAGGAAGAGCACCTGCAAAAAAATAATTTTCTTAGACATCAATTTTCCCACTCAATTTGGGTTTAGTTAGCCTTGGCATGGTGCCTTTAAAAAGCATGAAGCATTTTGTCAAGTAATTGAAATTCAAATAAAATGACAATCCTTATAATACCATTTTGATGTTACTGGAATGGAGGTGGCAGTTAGAGGCCAGGCAGCTTAGAAGATGATAATTTTAAATAAGAATAGGCTTCATTCATTTGTTTATACAAACAGTATGTTGATGGATAACAAGCAAAATTATGCCAAGAAAGACCCAGAACAGAATAAAAAGATTGGTTTAAATTACAATATAGGGGGCATTTAAAAGCAGAAAAGGCTTTTAGGGTAGACAGTCAAGGCTACTAAATGCCAACTAGGTTACTAACAAACAATGTGAAATCTATGTCATGTCTCTAGAAAGAGTGTGCACTCTTATTAGCCTAAATTTTATGTGATATTTGGTCATCTTTTCTGGATAGGGTGGTAGGTTTAAGTACTGGATCATTTTTTTTAGGAATTCTTTGAACTTTGATTGAACACTGCCATTATCTTTACATGGTTTAACCTAGGAAAAGAACAAAATTTTACCAAGTTCAGCTCTGGAAAACACAAGGAAGGTGTCATCCTCATTGAGGTTTTTGTTAAAGTCAATGCAGAGCTCACTTATTCTTTTCTTCACTGCTTTGATTTCCTGAAACAAAGATACAAATGCAGGACTTTTAACAATCAAGTTAAACTTTCATTATTATTGTTATCAGTCAAGTAAATTTCACTTTCATATACAGACTAGCTTCTGTACCTAACTCTAGGGATTTACCTTCCTAAGAGATAAGCTTGATAAAATAATTTTCTGCAGTCTTCTATGTTGCACACATCAGTACTGTATACAAAAAGGTTGAGCTTAGTGACATACTAGAAATTACTCATATATTTTAAGAATTAAGCAAAATTTTCACTGAGCCAATCAGCATGTGGTGCTGAAGTAAACCAAGAGATAAGAGAGTTGGGCAATTCATTCTATGGCTGCTTTGGAAAAAAGGTCACTTAGTTTATTTTCTTTTAAAGATTTATTTATTTATGCATACAAGAACTCAGATGTAGAACAAAGGTGTTCTATACAGTGTTTAATGCTTTTGCCAACAAAGGTGAATTATGTTCCCAAACATATTTATAAAATAACTATATGGGACATTAAAGAAATCAGTAAGAAAACCACAAGAAAAATCAGGAATAATATTAATTGTTCCACCCTTCTAAAATTTGTGGAACAAGAAATTTACATAAATAGCACTGGTTTTCAAAGTATAACTCTGACCATAAGCGTCAACATCACCTAACAACATGCTGGAAAGGCACATTCTTGCAATTCAGAACAAACCTATTGAAATACGAACACTCAAAAGTGAAGCCCCTGTAATCAGAGTATTGACAAACCCTCCCAGAAATTCTGATGAACACTACATTTGAGACATCTGATTGAAAACATCCTGTGCAGAGTCATTTTTAGACATTCTGGTTATCTCCTCAAGCTCCTTTCCATGTCTCCCCCATTCTACAATAGCCATGTCTTTTGGGTGGAACCTGATTCTCTCTGAAGTTCCAGGGTGAGGGAGTCCCATTCAAACTGCAAAAGTGACTCGTTCAGGTAATGTAGGCCCAATGACTCATTTCTTCAAGGGACCACCTGGTAACACCCAGCAAGACAGTTAATCTCGAAAGTACATCCTCTGTAGAATGGGGGTGACAGCACTAACTTTGTGGGGTGACATAAGGCAAGTGACTAGTGTTGCACACAGTTTCGGTTTTCATTCTTGTAGACACCACTGTGATTGTTAGGTTGATATCTGCTAGAACTCCCTTAGTTAGGTCTCACCTATTCACAGAAACAGAGTTGGGGGCCAAACTGACCAAATCAAGATATCAGCATATTTTTATTTTCGCTTTCATACCCCAGGTGTTCTCCTGACTAAAGAGGGATTTAGAGTTAGGCACAGATTCAATCTGGGCCATTAAGACACATGGAAGAACTAGCAGGGCTTTGTAATTCCTTCTGGATGGCAGGGTTTTCAGTTTTTTTTTTAGCCATTTTAGCAATAAAAGTAAGCCTTTGGATAACACTAATATTGCAGAAGACAGAGAAACAAAAAAATCAGGTGACCAATGACACTGCTGAGTTTCTGGATCAAACTAGTCAGTGAAGCTCAAATACCTCTGGGCTTCCCAGTGAGATAAGCAAATCTACCTCTTTTACTGTTTTAGTGAGTGACAACCAAAACACCATTTTAAATAATACAGTGTTCATTCTTTGAACAGTCCTGGTGATTGACTAGAAAGGAAAAGTTGACCTTATGTTCTTTAATAACTAGCCCTAGTGAGTCAAGTCATATTTTCCCTGCAACCAAAGGGGAGGAATGCAGGGTATCCAAAGGGCACTTAGCTACCAGATAGGTTCCCATATTTCTGTAACATGTACCATGCGATTAGCACTTCCTATGGATTTCTTTTTCTTCTTCTTACATAAGTTAAACCATTTATTATGGCTAACAATGTTTCAGATTGTGAAGTTTCTACTGGTCTTTCAATCCTTCAGTCTTCTGATGGTCGGTGCTACTATAGCAACAGAAATGGTGGTGGAAGTCCAGCACCACCAGCAACCATTATCATGCAGGGATCACAGCTGGTCACTTTAGCTGAATTTTGCCACAGAGGGAGCAGGTGAACTTGGTGTGTTGGTTGATTTCAATTTTTTTCACCATTTTCCTGAGGGAGGCACCCTATGAGTCCCCTGATTTACTGATGATTTGGATCTTCTTGGTGCATTCGGCCCATGGCTGCAAACTATATCAAAGCCCACAGAAGACAACTTCAGATTTTTTCCAAATTTGTTTCCAGTTCTACTGACCAGAAAGTTAATCTGAAAATATTGGTCCAAAGAATGAGTTAATTCTGCATTCAAGTTTCTGAGACTGGAAGATTTGATTGACAGAAGACAAAAGAAAGGGTTTGGGAAACACTTTCTAGCAGCTAATCTTTCCAGATTCCAAGAACATATAATGATCATAGGTTATTTCATTCTAAACTGTTGGCTTTAAGACTCTTATCATAAGGATGCCATTACCAGTTTCCTATCTGTATGGCTAAGGGAATGAGAATACAAATCAATGATTAAAACCTAGGGCTAGTTATTAAAGAACATAAAATATAGCAGAGAAAATATGTCTAGCACAGAAGAAACAAATAAAACTTGGATAGGAGTAAAGAAGAAATAAATTATCATTTGTCAGTCACCAGAAGGTTAAAAGGCATTGTAGAATTGCAGCTATTCACTATAAAATACATTGTTATTTCCTATATTAGAAACATGTGTTACCTATATTTCCTGTTTCTTGTTGTATTTTGCTTTATTTATTCTTTTTTTCCTCTAAGAAAAAAAGGAAACATAAACTCACATTCTGTATTTGTTCTGGAAGATGAAGCCCATTTCTTTTCCCCATTTTAACTGACTTTTCCAAGTATCGTCTGGCTTCAGGCTTTATCTTCCCCAGATCACATGTTTCCTGAAATTAAAGAGTATGACAACCATTCTGTTATAATAGAACATGGGTAAATTATAAACTGTGATACCAAAGCAAATTTATTCATCATCTCTCTTGGGCTAGGATGAACATAGGTGATTATGAGGCAGGTTCTTTTGTAGACCTAATTTCTTTTATGCTTTAGTGAGCTCCTGCTCATTTATAACAGAAAAGTTAACTAAATAATAAGCTGCCTAGAATTTTCTTGCCTTGTATTAGAATTATGAGTGTCTGAACCACTTCAAAGATAGTAGAAATATTTGCATAATCCTATCTGAGCATTTTCTATGACTGAATGGTCTTTTTCACAAAACATATTCCTTATCACCAATGACCTGGATTTAATTTTCTATCATTTGTTAACTGGGTTCCACCTGAGAGGCAAGAACAGAAACAATAAGCACATTCCACACAAATGGAGTGGGACTCTTTTGCCAACATACCAAACAAGGACAGCTGTATAAAACCCCAGAGAAAGGCTCACAACACTTCTAATACGCTTCACTGCCATTTGGCAAGAGAGATCAAGCAATAATAGCAAGCTGCATATGAACAAGGATCTGAGGAAAAAATGAGTCAGCACTACACAAAAAGGAGGAAAGCTGGACAGTCTGTTGTACTTGCATGCAATAACACAAGTGACATTCACTCAAAAGAACACAAGACCTTGGAGGAAAATGGAAAGTTCCCCCAGCCATTTCAGGGTAATAAAAGCACCAGACGTTTCTTTAAAACAGCTGACAGAACTTTCATGGCACATCTGGATGGTTAGTCAGTCCCTGAGAGGAAACAGACTCCAGACAGATTCAGCAGGTGTAGTGGATTCAGTCTGGCTGACAGCGAATGAGGAATTCTGTCTCTAGATCCTGTAGCGTTGGAGACCTACTCTTTATCCATAAATGGTCTGGGCTGTCCATCCCTGAGCTTTATATTCTCCCACCTAAGTAGATCTTTAAATAAACTATACCTAGGTTTAGAGCCTGCATTTAAAATTGTTGGTGCAAGGCTCTTGCTGCATGCAGTAATTCTACAATTTTTTAAAGCATCTTATTATAGCAAGTAAATAAAGAGTTGTATTTTAACTAGGTGTACTACGTCATATAACAACCTTTCTCACTTTTCCTACTGGTAATTCCACGTCATAGAACTACAAACACATGTGTGTACATTATTCACAGTTTCCTGAGCTTAATCCTCAGTGGAGGCAGAGACAGTTAGACTCTTTTTTCCATAATAACTTTCTTTTGTGTCACTGGAGAGTTTTTGGGCATGCTGGCATGCCTGGTTTAAACTCTCCCTAGTTGGTATTGGCACACAATGGGATCCTAGCGGCAGGTGCCTGCTTTGGGAGGAAACCCAGAGTGGCTAGGGAGATAGTAGGGCTGTGGGCCTGGTTCCCTCAGGGATGGCCAAAAGTTCAAAGTATAGTGTTCATGAGGATGTGATTAACTTGCATTGATCCAGGTTGACTTTAACAGCGCTAGCAAGTCTGTTCTAAGGCATGGGGCATGGCAACAGCTGCCTCTTGACAGTGCAATACAGGAAGTTGTAATACTGGGACGAATCAAGGCAGTACGTGTATGTGACACAGGGAGAGGGCAAAAAAATTCCTGGTGAGAAGGGCCTGGCAAGAGCTGAGTAAGTTGTAACAAACCCAAGTGTGCAAGTTGAGATCCAGAGTGGAGGACAATCCCAGCAGGGCAGGGATTGCCCAAGCAGAAAGCAGGTACTTGGGTACTTGGAATCCTGGGGTTCACTAGGTGAAGTGGGCTCTGAGGTTAGGAAAGAGAATCATCACAAACCTCACCCGCCAATGTAAACACATAGCTTATTCTAAGCTATGCTGTATCAGGATGGATGTTCAGGTGGGCCTGAGCCTGTCATTTGTGGGAGTAGATATGCTCCTTCAGAAAGTCTGAAAGTACACACAGCATAGTAAACTCCAAACTCATGGTTGAGATTAGGTAAAAACACTCCCAAAATAGAGAATACAGGTATAAACAGAAAGATGTTCTAGAAAAAATAAGCTCTGAATTAGGCTTAACTAAAATATGACCAATTGTTAATACCAAAATATTTGACTAACCACAAAAAATGGCACTTAACAAAAATCTGACTCAATTATAAACAGATACCCTTTACCGGTCGACTCTAAGGTCTCAGGAAATCTGTGGAGATCTGTGTTAAGAGTAAGGTACATCTAAAATGTGCTTCTGAAGCACAGTCCTGTTCCAGAGCTGGTCATAATTTCTCCTGTAATCTCCACACAGGGTCAGAATTACTATCCAAGGACTTTCTAAGAGGGAATCAGTCAATACTTCTAAACTGTTCTTCTGTAGTTGCATCTTCCTCCTGGAACAAGAATATAATCCCCTTGAATCTGAATCAGGCCTCAGGTCTCTGTGGGTATAGTTCTTCCTATTTGGAGGGTGCCAATGGGATGGGTGGGCTAGAGTTCTCTTAAGTAATTTTGACATATATATATAATCTGACAGAAGGGGTTTCATTTTAATTACTGTGATGAGAAGATTGTCTCCTCCTAACTTCTTCCTGTAACAAAGAGTATTTATATAAAAGTGTGAACACATATACATTCTCTTACATGCTTGCTGGTATGATCATTTTACAGACAAGAAAATTGAGGTTAAATGACCTTCTTAAGATATCATAGTTACTTAGTAGCAAAAGGGATAGAAATAAATTTTTAAAATTCACCAGTTAGTAACTTTCTCAATGTACTCATCATATTTAATTCATTATCTTTTAAAAATTTTCATACTACAAAAATGAAATATTTTTTTAATTTCCCCCAACCCTCCCCACTGTTGTCCCATGACTTTGTCCTTTTCTTCAGAATACCTTTACATTTCCTGTTTCTAAGTGTGTAAGTAAAAACTTACTTCAGTGGGATTCTCTGTATTGTGTGTGCTAAGTAAATATCACAAAGTTGTTAACTCAGAAAATTGCAATAGCATATTCTTGTGAACATCTTTTACAAAAATGGATTCAAAAACTTTATAATATGCTCAAGAAATGTAATAACATAGCCATATGAAAATACAGATCAACTTCAAAAGCTAAACTAGAGGTAGAGCTTGCTTAATGACATGTTTTTGGTTTTTCCAGTAAGTTACACTTTTTGCAAAGTTTCTATCATACAGTTGTGAAAAGGACAATCTTTGGCAGATGCTGTATTCCTGGTTGGGAGGGTTACAGAAAGGCCTGTGGCAGACTATGAAGCCCATTCACTATCACATGGTTCACCTTTGTGTTGTGAGTCACAGCCAGAGTGAGGACCCTGGGAATGGGGAATCATGTTGCTTGAAGCGCAGAGCCACTCAGCATACATTTAATGAGCATGCATCCTACTTACACCAGACACTCAGGAAACTCATGGAATACCTTTGAGGTATTTTACATAATACAAAGGGAGAAAAAGATTAGCAGACAACACAAGTGTCATACAGTGAGTGAAAAGAGGGGTGAGTACTTGGGAAGAACAAAGGAGAGGGAGCTGGATATCAAGGAAACTGAGTCAAGGTTTAAGCTGATAAGAACCTGACAAAGTTTTAAGAACCTAATTAAGAATGCATTTTGCATAAAGAATTGTGAAAGGGAATTTCATCAAGTCTAAGTGAAAAATAACATGAGAGCTAAAACATTTGTGATTTAATAAGAACTAAACAATATCTTAAAAGTGTTTTTAAAAATAATGAACAACCATATACCAGAGACATTTTGTGGGGGTGGAGTGGGGAATGGGATCAAAAACGGGGGGGAAGGGAAGGAAATGCACGGGACTATGGTGGTGGCACACGGGTGATTTGGTGATGGGAAACCCGTGGGGATTACAATCGAGATGGAAAAAAAATGTGCAAAATGATGTAAAAATAAACTTTTGTAATAATTAAAAAAAATAGACAAAAAAAATAAATTTGGGGTACAGATGTGGTGAGACATTAAAAAAAAGTGTTTTTAAGAACCTGATAAAGTTAGAAGCTTAGGTGGTATTATGAGAAGGCATAGTAAGTAAAGGGAATTATTGTCACCATGCTATATTTTGGATGACTTTTCCTTTTACATCTTTTTATACTTGATCTTAGCCAGAAGGCCAAGAAAGTTATTCTTTTATTTTTTTAGTATCATGATTTTGAGCACTAGTTCTTCTGTTTAAATTGGCACTGGCTTCTATGGCTGCTAGATTAGGAAATCACATGTTGGAGTATCTATACTTAATCCCATGACCTATTTACTTACACTCTAACACTAAAATTTTCCTATTTAAATCACTAATTGGCTAAGAGGTATTGGCAAGACCAAAGCCCTCAGCTCTGTTAAGACACAATAATGTAATAGGCAACTATGTTTCTCAATTTAGTTTGCATAATACAGACTCTATTTAACTAAGAATTCCTCTGTGTACTTAATATTTAGCAGGTCATTGAAATAAAATATAATGTGCATGGATTATTTTAATATGAATACACTACACATTTTTTATTGTACACTAATATGGATGGAAAGAATATCTATGAAAAATATTTTTGACCTTTGCTGGCTTTTAAGTCAATGATTGTGAAACCTTTGTCAAGATTGGGAAACACCAACCCAGCAATTCCAGCCTTAGGAATCTACCTAAAGAATACAAAATCAGTGAGTTGAAGGGAAACATGTACTCTTACGATCACTGCACCACTGATTGCAAAAGTCAACTATAGAAATAACCCAGGTTGATCAAATATGGATGAGTCCATCTAGAAAATGTAGTATCAGTATGCACTGGAATACTATTTAGCTATCCAAAAAGACAGACTCTTGTCATTATGGCAACATGGATGGAACTGGAGCAAAATAAGCCAGAAGAATAAAGACCAGTACCTGATAGTATCACTTGTATATGGACTACTGAGAAACCATACAAAGGGTCATATAAAGCCAAACTAACCTAGTAAGAACTAAACTTAGTAAGCTGACTATTAAACTGAGTTTATCAGAGGGAAAGGAGGGGGAGGGGGCTTGGTGGGGGAGGGAACACAGTGAACTACAGTTGTGGACTTAGGGTGTTTTGGTGGTTTGGTAACAACTCCACAGAAGGAAGGAGGGAAGTCATATACAATCATGTAAATCAAGGTTACCTCAGTTAAAAAAAAAAAGACTGGGAAACACTAAGACCTGTGGCCATAACTATTAGTTTTTGATACCTGGCCATTTTTTTTTAAGCTAAAGGGTCAAGGAAATCCCTTGTTTTCATTTCTTTTTTCTTCTGGTGGAGTCAAAGTTAATGTTAATGTGTTAAATTTTTAATGTGATATTTGATATCTAAAAATGAATAGAACTACATATACATTTATTAAACCTGCTCTTAAACTTATGAAATAAAATATTAATAGCCCTCCGGCACTTAACTATGCAACAGATAGTCACTGTCTTGAATTTTGTGTTAAACAATTTTTCCAGGTTTACCACTACTGTATATATTATTTACGTTTTGTTCTTTGAGCTTTAGAATGATGTGCTCTGTATGCAGTCTTTTACAACTTTTTTTCCTTAATGTTAGTAAGATTCAGCCATGTTGCTGAATTTTGCTATATATAGTTTATGACACTGCTATAAAATATTCATTACATACATATAATATATTCACCCATTTTTGTCAATGGGAACCTGAGTTCTTTCAGTCTTGGGATAACGTAATATTGCTATTAACATATACTCAGTTTCACATGTGCACGAATGCAACTTTCTCTAGGTAAAAGCTGAGGTAAAGTAGGAAGATAATATAAGTACTGAAGAATGTAAGTTCCACCTTTATAACACAACTTTTTCTTCAAGTTGGCTGTTTTTTTTTTTTTTAAAGATTTATTTATTTGTGTATACAGAACTGGGGTACAGGCCAGAGGTGCAGGGGCAGTGAGAGGATTCACTAGAGACAGAGTGGGGAGCAGAACAGGCAGATCCACGAAGTACACTGCTTAGGGGAGCAGCAGGCAGGTCAGGAGAGGTCTGTCACGTGATGTGGGTCACCTTCGGGGCGGGGATGGAACTCATGCTGAAGTGGCTTTAGCTTCTTAGTGCTGTGCTTTAACCTGCTGCGCCACCAGGGAGGGCTAAGTTGGCTATGTTTTTCTTTAGAAATTTTCATTATCTTTGGTGTGTACTATTACTATCTTTTAATGAAATTATACTTTTACTGGCAGTACAAAAACATTTCCAGTGAATCATATCCACACATATGTTAGGCTTGTCAATTTTTGTTAGTGTAGTAAGTGAAAAATGTTATCTTATTGTGATCTTCATTTGTACTTCCCTGATAACTAATGAGGTGGAACATCTTTTCATGTATTTAATTGTCATCTGTGTTTCTCCTGAAATATCTTCCAGGTAATTTGTCCATTTGTCTACTGGGATCCTTTTCCTGTCTATTAAATGCAGTAATTCTTTATAGATCTTAGGTATTAATGTTTCGTAATTTTTTCTTTGTCTTTCCACTTTATTAAAAAATTAATGTAGTCAAATTATCAGTCTTACAGTATTTTTTGTCTTAAGAAATATTTTTCTGCTATCACAAAGATATATTTCTGTCACAAAGATATATTTCTATATAACTTGTAGGAGCTTTAAAGTTCAGTGTTCTAAAACTTTTTCTTTTTTTTTTTTTAAAAACACTGGGAGGGCCCCAGTGTTCTAAAACTTTTAACCCATCATTTTTCAGTTAGGTTGTAAGGAGAGATCCATTTTTTCTTCCCATTTTTGATAACTCATGCCCCATTACTGACTGTATTTTTTTGATCTTTCACCAACTATTTCTCACCTTAGTTTGATGAACATTTACTCACTTTGCACCAGGCACTCTTCTGGAGGTGCAAGTAGAATCAAATGTGATCTTTCCTTCCCTAGAGATGGTTAATGTAAACACCTTTTATGTACTGGATTTCTGCAAATACTTAACCAAGTTCTTGGAAAGTTAACCATTTCTGAGTTTCAGTTTCTCCAGTTATAAAAAGGGTTACCTCAGAAGATTGATAGGGAAGTTAACTCCAGTAACTACAATGTCATACAAATATAAAAAGTAGTGTTATTACTAGTGTTACTAGCCACATATTGGGAAGACTAGCACACTGGCTATTTTATGATCTAGTATAAGTTCATCTATCGATTTAGTCAACAAATCACTTATTTTGAAGGTTCTGAAAAATGACTGCAAATTAATTGATACTCTCTAGAGTGACATGTGGTGGACCTGGAGTCTGAGCAGATGGCAGTGACTAGTCAGTCAACATAGTATGGTATAAGGATTGCTATATGATTTTTGAGATGGGTCATCACAAAATGTAATGCAACTTCTGGGTATTTTCTTGGCACATATAATTGTGTTGGAGCTTTGAACCTCCATGAAAGAATCCCTCTCACCCTAATGATGCTATACTGTGAGGAAGCCTAAGTTAGCCTACATTAAGAGGCCACATAGAGATTCCTCAAGACAAAACAAAGCCAGAAATGCCTGCTTAGCCTCTACCTGCTTCAGCCCTAGCCACCAATACCCGAAACCACCAGTGAAAACCCAAACAGAATTACCTGATTCCTCCCTGAATTCCTGATCCACAGAAACGCTGAGAGAATACCCTGACTAAGAACATATTTTGCATAAAGAATTGCAAAAGGGGGCCCTCCCTGGTGGCGCAGTGGGTTAAAGCACAGCACTAAGAAGCTAAAGCCATTGCAGCATGAGTTCAATCCCTGCCTGCCCCAGAGGTGACCACATGGCACGGCAGACCTCTCCTGGCCCGCCCACTGCTCCCCTCAGCAGTGTACTTCTTAGATCTGCCTGTTCTGCTCCCCACTCTGTCTCTGGTGAAGCCTCTCACCGCCCCGCACCTCTGGCCTGTACCCCAGTACTGTATGTGAAGATAAATAAATCTTTAAATAAAAAAAAAAAATAAAAAAAAAGAATTGCAAAAGGGAATTTCATATTTCATCAACTCTAAGTGAAAAATAACATGAGAACTAAAACATCTTATTTGTGATTTAAATACTATATATGATTACTGTCCACAATGATAGCATCTTGAGACCTCAATATTATTTGGTGCATCCTCATTTTAATAGACTATGCCAGAAATTGCTGATTTCATTTAAACTTAAGATCCTATTATTCAGTTAAATGAAGGCTTTATGTGTTGTATCATGATTGCCCTAGTTTAATTTATATTATTAACAGAGAAAAGTAGAATATTTACATAAAGTTAATTTTGTCCTTTAAGTATGAATGGGATGAGTTTTACTATTGATTATACTCTAGCAGAAAACGAATACTGATAATTCTGTTTTTCAAAATACTGCTTAAACACACGTGGTTTTTTAAGGAAGATGTGAAGTTGTAACTAAATTCAGCAAATAAGCTCCTCTGCAGTTATTTTTTATTATCCTGATGTAGCCTTAACTGACATTGTAAAATCCCCTAAAAAATGTTTAAATAAGAATCTACACATCTGAGAGTAATTACTCTATTTGAAAGAGGAAAAGTCATGGAATCAAATTTGAAATTAATGTAAATTATTAAAATAAAGTCCTGAAATTAACCAGCAGAAGCAAATGAAAACATCTGATAAAAGTGCTGGTGTTTATCAGGTCACTATGGTATAATTAACTACTCTAGTCTATTACACATATGACAATTTCCCCCCAATTTAGTGGGATGAGTTTCAATATATGCAGAATTTATAACAAATAAATCTTAAGTGATACACCTACCACATCTTGATAAGAACATTCATAATAATCAGAGATGATGGCTAGTAACAAAAACATTAGATCAAATAACATTAAGACTGAAAAACCTTTTTGAGGCTAGATAATCCTAAATGAGATAGATGTTAGGATGAAAGAAGTTAATCAAAGAAAATCAGAAATCCTGATGAAGTTATAAAATATATGCCTAATAACTGTTAGGAAAGAATTTGGTTATTTTGAGATGAAATAAAAATGGACTATAAAGGTTATGATTTGAATGATCTAGAAAACGGGGGTCAACAGAATAAATGAGAACAATTTAACAAATAATAACCTTTAAGATCTTTTAATTAGCATTATTTTTATAGTGCCAAAGATGAGTAATTATGAATCACACAGATGATTATAATTATAGAGTGAAAAGTGCTTATCTGACATGAAATAATAGATTGCACATACATCTTAATGTCTAAAGGAAGTCTCAATTATATATTCTATAGTGAATTACAAATAAAAAAATGCTTTTTTATTTCAATTTTTGTCATAATTTGCTAAAAGGAGCAAAGTTTTGAGATTTTTGCATTAAAATGCAAAACTAAACAAACATATCTAAGAATGTAAAACACTGGCTGTTTTCCAAACAAATTGCTGAGTATCTTGAAATTAAAAATTCAAAGCAAAGACATGAAAATGCTAGGAAGCAAATCAACATTTATGATTAAAATGATAAAAACACTCAAGGAAGACCCACCTAGAACATTCATTATCCATAATTTCTGTGAGTCCTGAAAAATGTAGGGATGACGGACAGATATGACTTCAGCATTTAGCATCAATAGTGTATCATAAATACAATGTCAAAAACCACACAGTATCTATGACATGTAACTCAACTCCTTTTGCTTCTAGATAATCTGATCTAATATATATCTTACAAAATTTTCAACATTTTGAAAATTCAAAGAGCTTTTTATATTGAATCAATAAATTTATGATGGCTGAAAAGCCTTATATTTACAGACATACACTCTTTACACTTGATCTTTACTTTATGTGAATGTAATGGCATCTTAACATAAAACCCTAAGTGGTATAAAATAATATTACATAATGCTATGCTATGTCCGTTATTACAATAATTATAAACAAAATCTAGGCACATTCAAGTACTTTTATTACTGGTCAAAGCTTTTACTTTTTAATTAAATTTTATTTTTCCTTTTAAAGAGATTTATAAGATCATTTACCTGTAAATGAACAATCCTCAGAAATATATCTTTTCTCATGCTCATCTCGATATCAAAACGAGAAAGTTTTTTGTCCGCTTCTGTACTTGCTGCCCGTACTTCCCTGTCAGAGGAGACATGCTGGGGAAAGTCTAACATGGTTCGTTCCACTGGTAATAGAAGAAAAACCATATTTTAAACAAACAATAATAGTGAAAACCATTTCCTTCCTTAGTTTGCCACAAAGACCTGATACCAGACTTTTGCTCTTATTGTCAAACTATGAAAAATACGAAAGCCCAGAACTTGACAAATCAGACGAACAGGGTTCTAACAGCTGTTGTAGGAGGAGGATGAACTCTTGAGACCACAAGCTGGTAAGAGGTGATCTTAAAAACCTATTCTTAAGTGCAAAAATTTTAATGAACAATCCAGAAATACGAATAGGTAAATTTATGCAAGAACAAATACCATGAAACTGAAATAATATTTAAAAAAATATATGACTGGGGAAGAGAGTTTAAGATAATTCTTTTTAAAAAGATTTCTTTTTCTTTCCACTGATTTTTATGCTTGCAAATGCAGGAATTACTGGGTTAAAAATGTGGACCAACTCTTAACTTTGACTAACAAGACCAACCAGATGCTTTTCAGTTAAGAGCTCAAGACTCAAGTAAGATTTAGCAGACATTTATGAGAGTGAAGCAGTTGGCCTAGAGACAGAAAGTTAAACAGAAATGCAAAGGTAAGAGGATGTAACCAAGTACCTACTGCATTTGTATACAAGGTGGGAAATTCTTGGTTTTGATGGATCAGTGGAGGTAAAAACGTGACTGTGCAGAATTCTGGACAACCTTCCAAATTCTAGAATATCCAGTTCTACAGATATCCTATGTTCTTCTGAAGTCTGGATACACAGCCAAGGTTGTTTAGCTGTAATTATGCTACAAATATGTCCAACCCTTAAAGATAAAAGATATGAATCTTTATTCCTTATAACTCAAAGGGTCTAAAGTTTACATTACAAAATAACATATTTTAGGAGAGGGAATTAGAGAAAAGCAAAAAATCAAACTCTAAAGCCCATCACCTACAATAACAACCGTTAAGTAAAATTTGCAGATTTTCTTTCTCTGTCCTTTAGTCATGTGACTGAATACTAGTCCCCAGTATGATTTCAACAGCTGCATCACATTACATGGGGAATGTACCATAACTTATTTAGCCATTCTATTGGTTGAATAAATGTCTGTTCATACATACATATATATACAGTATTTTCCTATATCTGATTATTCCTTCAGATTACTTGCTTCTATATGGAATGGTTAAAGCATGAAGTTTTCAGTTTTAATACTTGTTTCAAAATATTCTCCAGAAAGCAGTGTAATGGGAGTCTCTATTTTATAGCACCTTTGTCAACATAATAAAATTTTTAATCTTGGGTGGTTTAATTCTAAGCAATTAATTAACTATTATGTAAAAATCAATACCTTGTAAAATTAGAAAGTAGATTGTCAAGACAGAGAGCATAAAATGGTTTATGATGCCCACACAATGAAATATTGATGTTCTCTTAATCCTACTCACCTATATATTTCATTTCTACATCTGCCAGTGCCTGTAAACAGTTCTCATAAGTTACTTCTTCGATGTCAAGCATTCCAATAGAATCATACACCTGCTTGGTCTGCACAATGAGCTCCTCAGTTTTTGTTTTAATTTGTTCTGGTGAAAGATCCCATCTTAAAATATTTCTGCCAGCAGCAGTATAGGAAGACATTGACTGAAGGGGAGACATAATTTCTCTTCCTAAAGTCATTCTGAATAAAATCCTGGAACCACCAACTCTAAAAAAAAAAAAAAAATCAGAAAATTAATAGCAGTCATTTCTGTTAATATGGAGTCAACACACAACAAATGTATAGTGTCTAGTTAAATTTTAAATTGAAAACTTTTTCATAAAAAAGAACAAATTTATTTCAGGTGAACACATGTACAAAATTAAGTGCTCTCATGTTTTCTATTATTCTTGAAGAATTTTTGTTTTAATTAAAATTTTATGTAAATCAAAAATGACAATTTGAATTTAAGATTTTGAAAATAACCTCTGGTACTGTTATGTACTTATCCTAAAAGAAAAAATAATTAAAGATGATACCAGTCCCTACTCCCTTAAAATACCAAACTATTAATTGATGCAATATGTATATGTATCTATTTATCCATCTAATTTTAAAATTTATCTATGAACTAATACTTACTATGTATTTAAGTACTATACTAAATGCTTTCTGGTTATTAACTCAGTCTTCACAACAATCCTGTGAGGTAGATAGTGTGGTATTCACATTTTACAATAGAGGAAACTAAAACAGCAAAATTAGGTAACTCACCCAAGATCACACAGATTGTTGTATGATAAGGTTGCACAGGTACTGAACCCACACTGGACCACTATCCCAAATTTTTCATTTCTGTTACCTTATAAGATCCCCAAATAACCTTATGATGTAGGCAGGTCATTATTCACTTTATGGGATATTGCCACTGAGTTTCAGAGAGATTAGGTGGCTTATTTAAAGTAATTTGCTTGACAGATATTAATGAGCAGATATTTATGAGATAAAAAGGCAAACTGATTGGGATCCTTTACTGTAATACAATGGAGAGAAAGCATGGATAAACAAGCAATTATACCACACTGAGTTCTATCTAGAAAGATTTCCTATAATGATCAGTGAACAAGTGAAGATCTGAACATTATAAAATTACCCAAAGGCCAAAGACTGTTAGGAGAGAAGAGGTTTGAAAAGGTAAGTAGGGTTAGAGAATGAAGAGCCTTGGGGATCATTAATGAGGTCAACCTTATGCAGAAGGCAGTAAGAGCAACTGACGGGTTTTATCCAGGTGGGGACACAAACATCACGGAGAAATCACTTATATTACAGTGAGCTGAACGGCTTGGAAAAGAGATAATTTGGAGGGATGGTAGCACTCTGAATATAAGATTATAGTTCAAGTGTGAACTAGGAGACAGAGAAACAGGAATGATTTAAAAGATATTCAGGAAGTAGAACCATTATGACATGGTCCCGAGTGAATACAGGGGGAGATGAGAGTCAAGGATGATGCCTTAGTTTGTCTTGAAACTGAATAGCTGGTGGTACAATCATGAAAAGGGGGAGAGGCTCTTTGTGGGGAGACAAGAGAAATTCAGTGTAGATATGCCAAATGTGAAGTGGTTGTAGTACATTTTAATAAAGTTACTTTGTGCTAAATGATAACTACAGCTATAGGGTGATAGAGCTGGTCCAAGGGAGTTTGCAGAATGAAAAGTAGAACAACTAAATCGTAACTAATTTAATAATGGAGATGGCAGGAAAAACACACCAGGATAGGTGTTAGGAAGTGGTAAAAAGCAAGCATTGAGAAAGGGAGTGACTAACAATACTCAATGTATAATTCTCAAGAAATTTCAAGATGAATTTAGCAGCTGGAATGTCACTATGCCTGACAACAGCAGCACGTGTGAACATAAAGGAGGAAAGACAGATTACTATCATTTGAGGGTATAATGAAGATAAAGAATTAGAGAGAATAAACTTAAGCAATAAATTCTACTTGAATTTATCCATCTATAAATTTGAAAATCTGAAAAAGGAGCACTAACACAGTATAGCTAGAAGAGGCTAAGGTTGAGAAAAGATGAATTTTAAAGATAGGAGAAACCTGAGTACTGATCCCTTAACTGACTCTCTACAATAACAGGTGTCTGGCACACATTCTGGTTGATGGTTACACTCAAGGCGGGCAGACTATTTCATAATGTAGTTTCACATTCCTCTTCAACTAGTTGAGTTACATATTTACCAAGGACCAAATCGTATTTGTTCCAAAATATTTGTTTATATTTGTTTTTATGTAATTCTCAATTGATTAAATATATGTGAAAAATGCCTCAAATGACTCACAACAAAAAGGTCTTGATTTTACATAAAAAAATGGGAATAAAGATACACTTATGCTTTGTTTAAGGGCATTACTTAAGAAATTAATCATTTTTTTATAATTCTACCTGAAGTGAGTTTTTTCAACTAATTAATAAATGACATAAAGCAAGATCCTAACAGAGCTAGCCAAATATGGCATATAAACCAGGGGCAGATCATGTTGTTTTAGATAGGAAGAGAAACTACGGTCTCAGTAAAATCAATGAAATTGGCCATAATTAAAATTATGGTAAAAAAGTGAAATGTTGGTAAGCAGTTTGAAAGACTGAAGATATTTTCTGGGAAATGAATGGTTGCTATAAACCAGCTGAACACTGCATAATAGCCTACTATTCCATAAATAGTCAATGCAACCACAGGAGTCAGTAGTTTGATAACTAAGCCTTGGAGGTAAAAAGGAAGATTGAGGCCCTCCCTGGTGGCGCAGCGGGTTAAAGCACAGCACTGAGAAGCTAAAGCCACTTCTGCATGAGTTCATCGATCCCTGCCTGCCCTGGAGGAGATCCACATGGGGCGGCAGACCTCTCCTGACCGGCCCGCTGCTCCCCTCAGCAATGTACTTCATAGATCTGCCTGTTCTGCTCCCCATTCTGTCTCTGGTTAAGCCTCTTGCTGCCCCTGAGCCTCTGGCCTGTACCCCAGTTCTGTATGCACAAATGAAATAAAATCTTAAAAAAAAAGGGAAGATTGAACCAAGAATAGTTTTCATAAGTGGAGAGGTCTGATGGGGAGGTTAAGAGAGGGCATCATGCGTGGGGTAATGGTCAATGATAACACCAGATTGTGAACCTGGGAAGTTTTATGCAATGGTAGAAAAGTGTAGTCTGAAGATAACTGGGGCAGATGGGAGCCTCAACAAAGGTGGTGTGTGTCTTTCCTCCCTACTTTGTGGAATATAAAGGAAATATTCTCCTCAGGGTTGAGTGGATTTTAGTGAAGTTTCACAGAAGAGAGATCTATAGAATCTGAAAAAAAGGAGTTGGGGCCTCCCTGGTGGCACAAGAGGTTAAATCACAGCACTATGAAGCTCTCCGCAGCCACTGCAGCACTAATTCAATTCCTGGCCAGGAAGTGAGCCATGTAGGGCAGCAGACCTCTCCTGTCTCACCCACTGTTGCCCTCAGCAGTGTATTTCAGTAGATCTGCCTACTCTGCTACTCACTCTGTATCTGGTGAATCTTCTCAGCTCCCACCCCACACCTCTGACCTGTATCCCAGTTCTTGTATGCATAAATAAATAAATCTTTTTTTAAAAATCAGGAGTTTATTTACTATGAGACAAGGGCTCTAGAAATAACAAGATAGCCTTAGTGTACAAGCCACAAGTTACTACGTTGGTCATCCAGGCATTCACTTCTTCATCCTGTTAAATCATACACGCATCTTACTCCCAGAACTTACTCCCATGTATCTCCAACATGATCTTGGAAGGTGGGTGCCCCACAGTCAGATTTCCTATGACAGAAAGGGTTTTCACACCCAGTGAGTGTAAGTGAGTAAACTTTTGTCTTTTATTGCAGCTGGCATCTAACTTGAAGAAAAAGTGGAATTGACTTATGAGGAATAAATATTATGAATGGGATAATGGGATAATAAAGGAAGTCAAATATTTACTGACATCATTTAATCCCCAGATCAATTAATTCTTAAGTCTGACCTAGAGCTTCCAATTATGAGTCTACTGTTTAAACCAGTATGAATGTGCTTTTATGCTATTGCCTTATACTGAAACCTGACTGACAAAGGAATGAAAACAGATAAAGGAATGAACACAGAATAAAATTATGATGGTTAGAGCACAAGAAATGATGGATACCTGGAGGGCTTTACAATCTTGACAGTGAACTAAAATAATCAGATATGAAATTCTGTGTGTGGAATTGGCTGAACATTTACAAAATAATTATTCCCTCAATCCCTCGTGGATACAAAGAACTGGGGCCCCAAATGAGTTAGTCATGACCATGATTGATGGGTTTCTAAAGAAGTTTCAGTAGAGGTCGAAGAGGCTGGCTATAGAATTACTGAAGTAATGCATAAAACATAAGACTTCTACATTTTAATACCCTGTTCTTTTTAGCACTACTTTCAGTATAAATTAATTAACATAGACACTTTTTTTTTAAATTGTGAAACAGCTTTAAATTACTTCGCACATTTCACTGATGAGAAGACATCCAACGGGATTCATTTATTTCCAAACACTGATCAAAAGGCTGAGTGTTTGGTCACAGCTTCCTGATTTTGATTCAGTTAAACTGTTAAAGAAGTCAATACCTCCACCTTGGCACACAGATCTGCCTATAGTCACCCTGTACAGCACCTGTTACAACTAGAAGCTACCCCTTAACATAATTTCCTGAATGCAGAAGGGGTAAAAAGAAAGGAACATAGGTTAGAAACCATGATTTCATGGTTTAATTTTTATCTCATACCTTCTTTTTTTTTTTCATCTCATACCTTCTTTTCTCACCTTCCAGAATTTTATCTTAATTCCTTCCAGGATCTATAATTTTCACTATTAAAGAAAAGGAATGGAGATAGAAGGATTACATTGTACTTCTTACTAAAGCATGTATGGAGAATTTTTCTATCTCAATTGTTTCTGCTTTTCATTCTCATCGTCATGTTGCTAAATATCCTCTGTTACCATTTCAAGCTCATGCTCCATTTTGGATGCTGGTAGACTGCTGCCTATCACTTCAGTGGCTCTGCCACTCTGAAGAACTGCCCCTGGGTGAGAAAACCAGTACACCAGCAGGATCTGGTGAGGATTTTCATGGCTTTTTGTCTTCACAACTGAGAGCTACAAAAGTTGAAAGCAGGCAACACAGCAT